ACTGACGGGTTGTGGAGTATTGATATTGGAGCATGGAAAATATTATTTAAAATATATATAAAATATCCATCACAATAGCTGGACTAATACTCTTTTATCTTCAAACAGAACACACTTGTGGTAACAGAATTCCTATGGATTGATCATTTGCAGAAAGTGGGGCCTTGCCCAGCTCCGCCTCACTGTATCAATCATTGCGGAATTAGCATGCGGGGAAACTGCCCATTGTGGGAATGAGTAGCATCATCTATTGACTTGGCCTTAGATCTGTAAGCACACTCACAGAGCTTTGAATATCGTAGATGACTTTGCTTAAAAACGAAACGACGCTCTGTACTTTTCCCTTATGTTTTTCACTCGTTTGGCAGCACTTTGGATGTGAGTCAGCAGCTACAGCAGCAGCAGCCGGTTTCCATTTGCAGTTTTAAAATTACTTCGAATTAGCTAAAAGCCTCTCCATAATTACCTGTAAATTAAGCCAAGGACCAGTACCAGTTAACACATGACGAAAGATTTTTGTATTTTGCTTTCCACACACACGACAAAAAATGGTGTTTTATTTGCGGTTTTTGGACTCCCAGTTTTGTCAAGAAATTTTAATAAATTTTAGATTTTGTTTGAGTTTTGTTTTGTTCTTCTTTTGCGTGAAAATACAACGAAACGTAACGAAAGGAAAAAAATACCGTTAGCTGTTAGCCGTTAACCGCCAGCCGTCAGCACAACCGCAAACGCATCGAGTCGATCTTAGAATGAAAATGAAACAATTGAAAAACAAACCTCTCAGTTCGGTTCGGTTCTGTTCTGCTTTTGGACTGGCTTGCCGGAAAAACAAATGCAAGTGTAAGGCAGAGAGCGACCGCACGAAGCAGCGTAGAGTAGAGTGGAAGGAGAAGGAGAAGGAGAAGGAAAAGGCGAACCGAACACACTGCACTGTGCTGAAAGCGAATTGACAGAAAGCTTTTCCCCCCCACACACACACACGCACACACTCACACACGTGCTCGTAAGAAACTTTCGTTTGTGACGGACGCTGACAGCGGCAGAGCGTCAGAGGGCAGAGACTGGGTGGACTGCGCTGCCATATACACAGGTGTTTTGGTTATTGTTTCGGTTTATCGTTTGTTTTAATACGCAGCAGGGGAGGTGTGTGCAGTTGTGCAGCAGAGGGCGCGAGCAAAATTGAAAGAAAGGACAACCCCAAAAAAGCTTGAGGCTTACACTGCAAAAGGAATTTTGGGCGCAAAATTATATTTGGGGAATTTCTATGCTGCCAGGCCAAGTGCCAAACAGAAGCAGCTGTTTTTGTTACGATATACATTTGAGAGCCAATAAACTATGGAATGTAAAACGGTGTGTACAGTGAAAACTCTCTAAAGATATTATTTTTTGTTACTTGTTTTTTGTACATTAAATTATAGTAAATTGCGACATCAAATCAAAGCGACTAGAAAATTCCATTATTCCATCGATTCAGCCTCTTTTTCCGAAATTGTTAATAACCTTTGAGCATTTATAGATTTATACGAAATGTCTGCGGTCTAAAGCACTATCAGTTTATTATTTAGAATTTTTAGAAATTGTATATTATTTAATGTAATTATTCTGTAATTCTGTACCAAGAAACATCTCAATGTATAACCTGAATATTCATTAAGATTTCCCAGAGAACTGTACACATGGATGGGCGGGGGGAACTCACCTTAATCAAGGAGTGATTTGACAACGTTTCATAGGCATTGATCACACGAGTGGGTTACAGATGAGAAGCACCTGAAAATTAACACAAACTATTAATACACTTGTGCGCTGCATGTAGATGTTTCCTTATACACTTCTTTATTTATTTTGCTTTATATTTTCCCCCGAGCCTTGATGAGTGCCGTTATGGAAATTAGTTAAATGCTAAATAAGCCATTTATTTATGGTTAACAAAAATTCCTTTTAATGTTAATACACAGAAACACACACGAATACAGGCGCGGGAACACAGGCACACAGTCACAGCAACTATTACAGAAACCGGTTTGCATATTATTTATATAGATAAATAATCTTTTTTTTCCTCTTTTTATAATTTTTGCGCGAAAAACGAGCACGAGAACAGAGTGCGATAATATCAAAAGAAATATCAAGAGAGAGAGAGAGAGGAAGAACAGAAACTACAGCAAAAGCCAAGACGAAAGCGAGAGCAGCCAAAAGTGAGAGAGACACCCACAAACAGACAGATAGACAGGGAGACATGGAGAGAGAGAGAGAGAGAGCGCGCGTCCCGCTCTTCTGGCGCGATTTTATAATGACGTCTTTTTCTTCTAGGGAATTCCGGGCTTTATGCTTATGCGATCATCATCAACTTTGTTTTTGTTTTTAAACAGTGGCGGCGGATTTAATTTTCTTAATTGTTGCTCTCCTACCATGCATACATCTGCCGTGTCTCTCTTTCACTGTCTCTCCGTGTCTCTGTCTCTTTAGCTTTGACTTTGTTTTATTATGGTAATAAGTACTATGGGGGAACACAAACAACGGCAACAAATTGTCGATGTGCGTCGTGTAATCTAATCGGTAAAACGTTCAATTTTAATCGAAATTATCAATACGTGTGCCGTTAAAAAGGTTTTTTCATGTACGATACGAGTGCAGAGTCGGTTCGATGGTTGCTTTTGCTGTTGCTTTTGCCAGCAAGTGAAACTTGCTTCGCTCAAAACTCAATTATACATTTCATGCATCGCATTTTTTTTTTTTGTCAGTACTTTTTATCTACAAACTTTGTTCAACACTCTGGGCACAGGTTATTTTCTGGTATTTTAACTGTCACAAGACGACAGACAGTGGCACAGCCAGAGAGAATGAGAGAGAGAGAGCTTTAAGCATGCGCGAATGCAAAAGCGTTAATATCGAGAAACGAAACGAAAGAAGACACAAAAACGAGGCACAGCACAGAGTTACTGTTGTTCCACACACGCACAACCGATCACGACGCCAGCGAATTGAAGACTCTGCGGCGAGCGCGGTAAAGAAAACAAAACTTTCAATACCGTAGACAGACACGATAGCAAAGCTTTCGGGCTTACTTGGAGTTGTTGTCAAAGCACAAACAAATACAAAGATCACACTTTTAAGCTGTCTCAAGAGAGCGGGCGAGAGAGTGATAGTGAGAGAGCATGTGGCGTCACGAAAAACGATCTGAAGCAGCTGTGCTGAGTCACGTATGTGGCTGAATGCAAAAGCAAAACAATCAACGGCCTTTGTGGGGGCAGGCGGGCAGCAGTTTTGACCACAGCTCGTACTCGTACTTTTTCCCAGTGTAGCACGGCGTGTGACTCATCCTCGCGGCAGGCAAAGCTTTTCTCGCTTTTATGAATGAAAATGCAGACTCGCCGCGTCTCTATGTCTCTCCTCGTGTTTTTGACTCATCCCCGAACCGCCCACTGGGAGAGAAGCCTGATTCAGCGTTGAATTCCTGGAAAAAGGATACATTATCCTGCGCCGGCATTTGTTGTGGCATAAATTTCAGCTCCCCAATGTGACTCACTTGGTCCGTGTTCCGCGTGCCACTGCTCTAGCCGGCGCTGCTTTCACTTTCCGGGCGAACTCTGGCATTCGGGATGCCAATTTCCATGGAATTTGATAAGTTGCTGAATCACCCAAGGAGCGGGGGGCCAGCCCACTGCTACCAGCGTAAACATTATAAGTACAGCTGATTAGTTCCCATTTGATAGTGAGAATATTGATTTAAAATGAAACATTAGTGGGTAAGGCAGCGAGATAAGATAGTTAATGCAAATTGTGGCTGGGAATTTCCAAAAAAATATATTGTGAAGCTTCCTAAATCTGATATGAAATTTTGTTTCAGGGTATTACACGAGTTCTATTTGAACTTTGTTGCATTTAAGTGGAAATTCTTTGAACAAAATTAATATTTTATTGAACAACATTTAAGCTGGTTTACCCACCTACTCCGCCAGTTTATTGATATGCTAAATATTTCTTAACCAGCAAGTCCCACGCTCTTTAATCTGATGATAACCTTATCAACAAACGACACGAAGGTCATGCAACAGTCTGCAAATTGCCGAAATTTCCCACATAAAGTTGCAGAGTTCAGCACACATGGCTATGACCTAAGCCAAATAAATAGAAATTATGTCAAATGTCAGTATTGAAATTTCACAACAAATGCCAACAGATTGGGCATGGATACTGAACCTTAGCCAACCTGCGATGTCTTGATAGCACGAATCGGGGCAGTCCTGAAACAACAACAACCAAAACAATAACAACAATTTCCCATTACTCCCATGCTAATGGAGTGCAGACATCGATCAAACAACGGTCGAGCCCCACTCTGCAGAGTACCCAAACAGCCAATTGCAGAGGATTTTTCATGAAAATCACGCGATATTTATCCAGTCCTGGCCTGCCATTTCGGGTGGGTAAAGGGATGGGTGACTCACCTGGCCCCACAGTATTAAAGCTGACACGTGCTTGACGAGCAGCGTCGCTGCGGGGCAGGGTGCGGGTGTTATGGAGTCGCTGCCTATGTAAACATGTATCCTCCTAGGTATACGACACTATTGATTTTTTGTCCGGTTGTCGTAGTAGTCGTAGTTCTGCTTCGCCGATTTAAACTCTTTGAACTTCCTGCGACACGTGTCCTTGACAGCGGGAGGGTAAGAACCGCTACAATATTGTGGGGCCGCGGCCGTTCATGGTGAAGGTGATACCGCCAGTAGCGCCGATCCGAATGATGAATGAGGGTTCAAGACTTATTAATTAGTGTGCAGGAAATGTTGCCCCTCTTAAGGGTACACGCCTCTGCCGGCAGGACCTTGGGGAAAGTTGTTTGCTGCCAGAACGTCTCAGATTTTCGAAGCGACTAAGCGAGTTATAACGACTGGAAATTACGTTTTAGCTGTTCCAAGAAATTGTAAAAATTTTAAAATTCTTTTGAAATTATTATTCATTTTGTAGTGTCTGCAAACGCTGTCCTGGAAACGCTGGCAAGAGCTTCTCAAGCAGGATCTATGGCCCCAATAAATGGATTATTTAGAAAAGATTTCATTTCCACCAATATAAGCGGTAACCCCTGCTTTGTAGCGTCTTCCACAGTCTTGACAGCCCCACCGAAAGCAATCAGATTGGCCAGGAAAGCCTTGAGCCTTGAGACCACACCGTTCTGTTTGAGCCCCAGTCCCGTGTGCGTGCACTTCTACAGTTAACCCCCAATAACCTTGGCCAATTCCTAGTATTCGTTGTGAAATACCTAACACCAGGTCAAATGATTTATTGGGTGGGGAACTTGTGTGAGAAGTAGAAGGATTTCATCGAAACACAGCTATCATTGAATAAACATTCAAGTCTCAGCAAAACTGGAGTTCTCTCTAAAGAACCATCCAAAAGTTCCCCAGGTGGAAACATGGAAGAAGGATCAGACATGCAAGTCGATGTCTGTCCAAATCCAATGCTGCACACATCGGAGTGGGTCGTGGATCCTTACCGAAAAGGATCGGACAGTTTGAAGATCTTTCTCGCGGCTTTGGTGCGCAGCTGGCGCATGCGAGGAGAAAATATATGCCAATTGGAGGAGAAGACGGAGCATTTCAGGGACGAAGTGAGTTAACGAAATTAAACATGACCCTATCCCCATATGCCAGTTCCAGTATTTACAGACTAAGAACACGGTACGCATGTCTAAGGCCCTGAAGGACGTGGAACTCGAGCGGAATGGCGAGCTGCATCTGGAATTAATGATGTACAAGCGTAGCTTCTATGAGGCTCAAACGTCCATTCACAGTCTGACGACAGACAAGGAAAAACTGCTACACGAAGTGGAATGTAGCAAGAGAAAGGTAGGTTCCTATATAGGGAGAAACTTTAACCATACTGCTTACCCATGCGACAGCATGACAAACTACAAGCTGTGGCTGACCAGCGACAAATAGAAATCTGTGCCGCCATCAAAGAGCAACTGATCGACCAACAGCGACTGTCGCAGGAGGAGCAGGCCATCAACCGGTTAAGAAGGAACAATGCTGACCTCGTCACGGAAGTCACCACGCTCCGCAGGATGCAGATGGAGTACAAAATTAGTGAGCAATGCCTAACCAAAGAGTTGGAGGAAACAAACGAGAGGATGAGCACCATACAAAAGGAACTAAACTGTCTTCAGGGTGGAATGCAAATATGGAACAGGTAACATAATAATAACTGTGTCGCTTTATTAACTCAATTAACTTCTCTTGACAGCAATGAGCCACAAGTCCGCCTCAAGATGGAACTGCAGGAATTATCCATCTCAAACGACAGTTTACAGACTGAATGCAAAGCCGTGTTCCCGATGCCTCAGCATGTTATTTTAAATGCGCTCATATTTTTCATTAAAATATTATAGGAAAATTATTTGAAACAGCAAAAGAATGGGCAAATTGCTCGGCAATGCCGCGTACATGGAAGTGTTCTGAACAGCAAATATATTACGAAAATCCGAAGCTAAGCTACAAAGTTACTTAACCAAGAAATTTTGAAAATGGCTGACGTGGGCAACTGTTGTTGGCTTCGGCACTGGCACCACCGCCCGGCCCCGACCTATGCGTGCTCCAGTCGTGGAGATGACTGGAGACCGCGAGGCGGAGTGGGTGGTGGAAGACCAGCACATGACCGTGCGTCTGTTGCTAGTCGACGCACTCGGCTAAGCAAAGGCAGCGGGAAAGCCAATCCAGAACAATGTTGCCACAGCAATGCCAGGCAGAATTACTGGGAAACAAAGGTGTGACGGAGGGTCGGCACTGAGCAGATCTGATAAACAGATGGCTATCTATCTATCGATCGATGCACAGAACAATCACAGAATACACTTCCAAAGTACAGTGCAGTGCATCTCGTATTTATACTGTGCATGTGGCGAATGAACGCTTGGGAATTACAAGCGAATGCGCACGCCTTGCAACGGGGTGGATTTTCCTTGCGTGGAAAAGGTGAAAATGCATTCAAAGTCGGTTAAAAAAGGTTGCAATAATTGCAAAAAATTAATTGACATTTTTCGAAATTCGGAAAAATCTGTTAGAAGCAAAAAAAAAGAAAAAACAGTGTCTTGGAATTATATAATTTTGTTGCTTGTCCACGGTGGGAATGGAACTATGGTGCTAGCTGTGGGCATGCGCAGTCTGGCCGATTGAGGCACAATTGTTGAAAATTTCCCTGTATAAATGGTGGTAAATGTTTTTCATATTTTCTGTCTTTTCGTCTAACTATTTGAGTACAAGTAGTCTTTCAGTTTTAAGGCTAGACTTACAAACGAAACTCTTTCCTAAGCAAGACCTGTCGCACCTTATATTCATATAGTTCTTTCCCAAGAACAACAACAATAGACGATAGGTAGAAACGGACAAATAGGTACTCGCTTTGTTGCTCCGAATCTTCAGACATGGTAGAATCAGACAAGCAGGAGTTTTTAGCCGATGGACAGTGGCTCATGGATCCTTACCAGAAAACGGCAACGAAGGTCATAGTGCGCGCCTGGTGCAAACGCGGCAAAGACATCTGCCAGCTCGTCAAGGCGAAGGATTATTACAAGCACAAAGTGAGTTAACCAAATGAGATTCAAGCTACCTCTTCATATTACTCCGATGGCAGGTCATGGAGAGCAACAATAAGTTGCACATGTACAAAGTGATGACTGAGGTGGCTGAGGATCGGAACAATGAGCTCTGCTTGCAGCTGATGAAGTCCAAGAAGAACACCATCCAGATACACTCGTCCAAGTTGAGCCTGACGGCGGACAAGGAACAGCTGCAGAAGGAAGTGGATTGCCGTAAGAGAGAGGTAAGTTCATTTATAGAATTAACATTGGCCATTCGTACTGCATTTCCATGTGCCAGAATGAGGAACTAAAAGCAGTGACGGACCAGCGAAAAACAGAACTCTGCGCCGCTCGGTTGGAGACGCGGAGACTCCGAAGACGAATATCCCAGAATGAGTTGGTCGTATTTAAACTTAAGACAATGAACTCTGACCTAAACAATGAAGTTAGAATGCTCAGAAGTTTTCACAGAAGCAACCAATTAAGGGAGCAACGTTTAAACAAGGAACTTCTACTTAAATCTGAATTGATTACCATCATGCAGAAAGAATTAAGTTTAGTTAAGGAAAGAATTCGGAAGTGGAACGAGTAATAATAATATTTAGCCCCTTGCAGCAACCAAATTCCTCATCTAATCCCTTCTCTACCTCATCCACATGCAAGCAATGAGCTGAAGGAGAACGAGCAACAAATGCGTCCATTGATAGACCAACTACAGGATCTCAGCAGAGGCCACAGCTTCCTGAGGATGCAGACGGTACAGGAGATCAACAGCAGGAACTCCATGTTTCAGAAACTCTGGCCAACTAGCTTGGCGAGGAAGCCACAGCCCATGATTGAAAAAGCTTTTCCTTTCTGCTTTAAACTGAATTACATTTTAGGTTCCTGAGAGTTTCAAAAATGTGTGTAAAAAATTAGAAAAAATAATTGAAATTGTGAAAAGTTATCAAAAAGATATTAAGTGAAAAAAAAAATACAAAATTATAAGCAGAAAAAATAAAATATTTCTTCTTGTCCACAGTGGGAATTGAACCGCTGTTGAGTCTGTGAACAATGCGGTGGCTGATGGTTTTGAGGGAAGGTTTGTGCAAGGAATTGCACTTCGAGAGCGAAATGACCCACACTACAAATTTATAAAATATTTACTTGTATTAGTCAGCGCAACAATATTGCAAACAAAGATCTATTAGTGTATATTGTCCATCAAGTAATTTTGTCTAAACATTTTGGTAACAAATTAAACAAATTGTTGCTCAAGCCATTTTCTATTTATCTTTCACTTTCCACCGCTTGCGTACAGCATTTTATATTAATTATGCATAAATGGCATCATCAATGATCTTCTGATTGTTTTATATCACTGACCATCTCAAACATTTTCAACCCACAAACAAATATAAAAACGGAATCGGCATACGGCATACGGCCACAATCAAATTTCTTTGCTCAAATAAAAGACAATAAAATGAGCCAAGAAACAGGTTGACGGAGTTGTGGTAGCTCCCTATAGCACAACTCTCAGCTGCTAAAAAACTAGAAAAAGAGTCAAATAAGAAAGCGCTCAATGCTGTTTGTTGTTGTTGTTGTTGAGCATTTCTTCTATCGCAGCTGTCACGACTTCGGCCATTGTGTTAATGTAAGTCTTGAATTGGGCAGCCACCAAATAAATAATGGAAAAGGCAAAAAGGCAGCGCCGAGCGCCGAGCTTGAAGATTTTTGCCAGACGCGGCAAACTCAGTTGGAATTGTGACTTCAGCATAAGCGGACGTGAGTGCGGATCGGGCCTAGCATAGCTAAGAGTTAAAGTGCGAATCGAAAGAGAGATACATAGAGAAATTCATAGGAATTCCATTTGCACTTGTTTTGTGTTCGGCTCATTTGATATGCACAGCTGAGCCCCTCAATAAAAGTTATCAAATTGTGCATGCTGAATGCCATTTTGACTGGTGTGCCACAAAGCCACAAAGCCCCTTAATCAACCATTCCAGCCGCGCATGCGCAGTGAATACGAAAAACTCCCCCGCACGTGCCTCGAGTGTAATTCGCGACTTCACTCAACTCGATTGAGTGCCAAGGCCTGGGGCAAACCGTCAACTAACTCTGGGTCATCCATCCATCCATCAACATGACATCTGCTCCTGGACTCCCACACATGGATCGCCCACTGTTGGCTTTCTATCAGTTTTTCCTCGACCTGATTATATTCGCCATTAAATCGGTGTTTTATATACTGGAAACGCTCTACTATACACTGCTGCCCATGCGTTTTAGAAAGTTGAAGGTAAGGCCGACCCAAATGTCGCTTGTGCATAAGTTTAGACCTAATTTGATAGACTTTCATTCAACCAAATGACCCGAGGGGACTCTCTGTTGCTTGGTTGCACAACCAAACCGACACCCACCATGTAATGAACAACGGAACTACGATGTGGAGCTACCAGTTGGCCACTTTAAATCAATCATAGGCATCCAGGGGCTACCTCTAAGCCGTTTCTCCTCATTTAATTTTTGCCTGTCCGTTTTTTGGCAATAATTTCCCCAAACTTTAATGAGCCACACGAGGCGTTGTAACAATAAAAACAAAACTTATTCAAACGAATTTTGGATGCTCTATTGCATAAGTAATTTGCATACAAAAACAAGTCATTGAAACAAACTAGTTTGGGGAATATATTTACAAAGTTTTGTAAGCCGAACCTTTGAGAACCCCAATAGAACCCGCCACAAATGGAGTGTATTGAGATGCCAAACAGCCTATAAACTTTCCAATTTATTTGTTTCATTTAACAAAACATCATTTGCGATTGTTGTAGATTGTCTGGTCTGTCTGTGATCGTAAAAAAGTTTTTTGGTTTTTGCTGTTCGAACAAATCGTTCGCTTTGTTTGGCTACGCTTCGGATGGCAAAAGCAATTTTGTTCACACGCTTTGCTGGTCACTCATGAATGGTTAAAGCCTCTTCTTATTTACATTTTTCGGCATCCGTGGACGTCACTTGTGATAGCCATTTGAGTACTTTGACTGCTACCAAAACAAACACCTCAAACTGTGCAAATGTTTGGCCATCCGAATATTGTTTTACGGCGCTTTGGTTTCAATTAGGCAGCGCCCAGAGTGACATTGAAATGGAGATCTTTCCATCCTACTAATGGGAGCTGTTCATGGTTCAACATATTTGCAGTTTCTGGTGGGGCCTAGAAGCAGCCCCAAAAGCGTTCGTGACTTGCCAGTCCAATGAACATTTGCCAACAATCGCTTTGACAACGAGTTTTTCCGCATCCCACTGCGCCTTGCCTTTTCCTTTGTCATTTGCTGATTTTTCTTCTTCTCAATGTTTCGACAGTATCTACGTACTGCACGCTCAACGCACAATTAGCCAAAATTAAGCCTATGCGACTAAGAGATTACCCATTAAAATATTAGCAACAAAGCTGAAAAAAATAGTACAGGTGCAGGTAATCATCTCTTAGCATTCATGCAGAAAAAGGTCTAAAATGACATCCCAAATATATAATTTGAACGGCCGGAAATGCATGTTGCATGCACACACAAATACTGGTGTAAAATTGCATAGAAAAATACATATAAAATGCAAGAAAATGGGGAAAAAAGACAGACAGACAGTTTTCCTTCAGCCAGCGACGCACGACAACTGATGTGCCGCCACAACTGTAGGGGATTGAACTCCGTTCAAAATAAATGAACCTAGAGCTGGAGTGGGGGCAGGCCAACAAAAAATGGCAAAAGCCAAAAGAAAAACTTGCCACAGACATTTTATACAACAACGGCAACATGATGCAAGACACTCGACCGCAGAAAACAACAAAAAATAGATACTTTTTAATATTATGTAGATATGTATGCAAATTGTTGATATCACATTAAATGCAACATCATGGCACAGTCGCACCTTTTTCATATGTTAAATAGTGTGTCTGCATGGGCATGGCTATGACGAGCGTAAAGGCAAAAGCAACAGACAGGGACAGAGTAACGGACACAGCGACAGATTAAGAGTTCAAATCAAGAGTAACAATTTTTGTTGGGTAACAATTTGAGCAATTAAAGCACATCAGTTTGAGGATTTTGAAGCTCTGTTTAGGAGAGTATTATAAACATTTATAGAGTTTTAAGGCAACCCTCAAAACTTTCTTTTCAATTTCAAATCTAAGTATATCTTTCCAGCATAAAATCTTCTTTTAAAAATGTTAGCTTATGATTTATCTTATCCTTAAATAAGTATTATTTCGGCATAAGAGCGTGAAATCTTCCTTTAAGTATTTGAACCAATCTCCTCACCCATTTTCACTTCCTTCACCACCAGTTTTGTATCTCTTAAATAAACAAATAACCCACCTATATATCTGCGCATAATGTTTACCTTAACCCATATTACATCTGTCAAAAATATGTTAATTTAAATTTCACTTGCAATTGTCCATCCGCAACAGAACATCTCCGGGCAGGTGGTGCTCGTCACTGGTGGAGGCGGCGGCGTTGGTCGTCTGATAGCGCTCAACTTTGCTCGACTGGAGGCGCGAATTGTCATCTGGGATATCAATCAAGAAGGTAAAAAGAGGCTGATACTTCGCAGCAAGCCGCTAATTGCTTGGTCAGCACTCGAGCGAGAGATGGAGAGGGTCAAGCACCTCTGAGCCGAGTGAAAGCTGTTACATTTCCATATTAAAATTTTAATAAATAATTTTCCATGCAGCCATCAAGACAACGGTGGATCTGTTGGCCAAGCATGGCTACAACAACTGCAAGGGCTATGTGGTGGATATATCCGATCGGGAGCAGATCTATCAGCGCGCAGGACAAGTCATCGAGGAAGTGGGCCCCGTGGATATATTGATCAATAATGCAGGAATTGTGTGCTGCAAACCATTCTGGGACCTGCACGATCGAGTCATCCAGAACACGTACAACATCAACATCATTTCGCACTACTGGACGGTGAAGGCATTCCTGCCGCACATGATGCGCCACAATCGCGGGCACATTGTCACCGTGGGCTCTGTCACTGGCATGCTCGGCACCTATGGCTGCAGCGATTATGCGGCCACCAAGTACGCGTGCATTGGCTTCCACGAGAGTCTGCTGACGGATCTGAAGGCCCATGGCTATGATCAGGTACAGATGAGTCTTATTTGCCCGTACTACATCAACACGGGCATGTTCTCGGGCGTGCGTCCACGCATGCAGCCCATGCTGGAGCCGCAGTATGTGGCCGATCGCATCGTGCAGGCTGTGCGCTGCAACGAGGTTTGGTGCGTGCTGCCCAACTCCATACGCCTGCTGACGCCACTGAAATGGTGAGTGCTGGATCCATGCCTGATTTATAGCCGTGTTCATTCTGTTTTTCTTGCAGTCTTTTGCCCGCCAAAATGTGCTGGGAGCTGATGTCACGCGTCATACGCGGCCCCGAGTCCATGATGATGTTCCAGGGACGTGGACGTGTGGCCGCTGGCTAGTCTGGACACCTCCGATACGAGTTACAATTGGGAAATCCTTCTAGCTTAAGTCTTTTATCTATAATTGTTATGTTAAACTAAGTAAAACGATTCAGGAAACGGATTTATACCCGCCTGTGGCTCCCTTTTAGTCCCGCACCGTGGTCTGCTGGTAGTAGTGCGGCGCCAGTTCTGTCAGCCACTCGCGCTTGATCACAGTCAGGTGGTTCATGAAGATTCTGGTGGTCTGCAGCAGCTCCCCGTACACCACGTACTGCGCTTGGGGCAGCGTGTACAGCGTGGAGTTGGGATGCACCGCCAATTCCGTGCCGCTGCTGATCTGCCGATAGACTCCCGAGTGGTGCAGGTAGGCCACTTGCGTGAAAAACCCAGCGGTGATGCATTTGCAGAGCATTTCCACATCCCCCTTGCAGGAGAAGATCGGAATGCCGTACTTCTTGCGCGCCAGCGTCAACAGCTGACCCCGCAGCTCGTGCGCGCGCTTCAGATTCCTGTAGATGAGGTAATACTGCCCGCAGAACTCCTTCGTCATGCCCTCCTCCACGAAGGCCGTGTAGACATTGAGCAGCGTAATGAAATCTCCCTCTGCCACCTGGAAATGGCGATGGGCAATGCGTCCGCCCTGCTGTGCGACCGCAGAGACGGGGCGGGAGAACACCGACTGCACCTGCAGCATGGCTATAATTGTGATTATCTCCTCGGAGCAGCCCATCTTCCCGGCGATGTACAGCATCTTCGAGAGCATGGCACTGAAGGGCAACTCGGCCAGCAGGTAGCCCACGGGTTTGGTCAGTTGTCCCTCCTCATCGATGGCATCCAGCGCGTAGAGTGTCTCCAGCGCTGAGAGAAGATTCTGCGCTGGTGGAGGTGAAGGAAAGTCAAAGCGCAGAATGTTGCCAATGCCCAAAGCCTTCAGCTGCAGCACGGCGCCGCTCATTTCGCTGCGTCGCATCTCGGGCGGCTGTCGCGGCTGCAGTGCATCGTAGTCCTGCTTCGTGTACAGACGGTAGACCTTGCCGGGACGCATGCGGCCTGCCCTGCCAGCACGCTGCACCGCAGATGCTTTGCTGACAGGCACGACGACGAGGCTGTCGCTGCAGGTGGCGGGATTATACCACTTCACCTTCACATAGCCGCAATCGATGACGTAGACAATGCCTGGAATGGTGATGGATGTCTCGGCTATGTTTGTGGCCAGCACCACTTTGCGCACGCCCTTGGGTGGGGTGAAGAAAACGGCCAACTGATCGGTGCTCGTCATGCTGCCGTACATGGGCAGCACTTTGAGGTTCTGCTGCTCCGAGCTGGCAATGTATTCGCGGAGTAGATCCAGCGCCTCCAGCACCTCCTCCTGGCCTGTGAGAAACGCAAGAATATCTCCAGGTGGCTCCTTCTGATGCAGCTTCCACACCGTTTCCACCGTCTCCTTGACGTAGTCGGCACAGGGCTCGTTCAGGTAGAAGTTGCTCACCGCATGCATGCGCCCCTCGATGCTCAGCTTGACACTGACCTCGCCGTCGCTCCGCGGCCAGCTGAAGAACTCACTGAAGAAGCCCGCATCAATGGTGGCCGAGGAGATGATGAGCTTCAGGCTGCTGCGTTTGCGTAGAATCTTCTTGAGCAGCCCCAGAACCATGTCCGTCAGCATATTCCGTTCGTGCGCCTCGTCCACAATGATGACGCCGTACTGGGTGAGCAGCGGATCGGCCAGCAGCTCGCGCAGCAGTATGCCCTCTGTCATGAATTTGATCTTGGTCTCTGCTGTCATGCGCTCCAGGAAGCGCACCACATAGCCGACAGTGTCGCCCACCAGCTCGCCGCGTTCCTCTGCCACTCTGTTGGCGAGAGTTACCTAAAGAAATTGGCATTATTTTTAGCTCTACATATTGGGAAACACCTTTACTTACTGTTGACACTCGCCTGGGTTCTGTGACGCCAATGAGGCCCTTGGTGTGCCAGCCCCATTCGTAGAGGTACTGCGGCACTTGGGTGCTCTTGCCGCTGCCCGTTTCGCCCACCAGTATCACAACCTGATGCTTCTCCAGGCAGTAAAGAATTTGATCTCTGTACTGTCGTATGGGCAAGCGTTCGCGCTGAAATTAAACAAATTTTGTTGATTGCAACTGGCTTTGAAATTGTTTTGGGCATCACGCTTACCTGTTCCACGAGGCCCAGATTATGATTTGCATTGAAAACAAAGGCAGAGGACTGCTGGTCGCTGCCCACGCTATCCGTAATGGAGTCATCTGTGTCGGGTTTAAGGAATTTTGGCTTAAACGTGGCCATTTGTTAGATTTATTTGGCGAATTCCTTTTTGTTGTCAATGCGGCACAGCTGTTACTTGCCGGGCTTAACCCACTAAAGCCCCCTGTATTTAAGCAGCTTTTCATCTTATACATCTAGGGTTAATTGTTATTTTCAGTTGTTCGGTAATCATTTTACTCGATTTTGAGATTCGATTTTATATTACAAGATAGCTAGAACTTTCCACACTTAATATATAATTTTAGCGAATAGATGAATCAATTTACTATAAGAATGTTAAATGCATTGGACTCTTTTTTATTGCATTATTGAGCAAAAGGGCAAGAAAATGTTGTCCTTTGCATACAATGTAACAACAGCGTAACTACATACATCCTACACACGAGCAACATGGCTGTGTAAAAACGACATGCCGAAACACCGACGTTAAATATTTTGAAAATTTGAATTAGCACTTGGAGCTGTATCCAAAGGCACAAATGACAATGACTAATGCCCCCCAAAACTATTTCCATACATTATTCACGGCCATTTTGATGCGCAGTGTAAAGATGTGTGTCCCTTAATGCAAATTAAAATAACTCTAATTGTCAGTGCCACACAGTCAAGGTCACTTTTATTCTCTTTTACGTAGTATGTTTATTTGACTGCCACGTGTGTGTGTGTCACAGACGTGTCCCCAGAGTGTTGCAGCTGTCGCTGCCAGAAGCGCACCAGTCCCTGCCCCTGTCAATTGCTTTTGAATAAATATTGTATCTTGACCAATGAATGTCCCATCCAAACACGAAACCCAAACACAACAGAGATGCCGAAACAATTCCGGCTGCTGGTCCTGTCCTCTCCTCCCATTGTGGACCGAAACTTTTGTTGCATTTATTCTTTTGTTTTTGATTTATGCAATATCTCCGTATATTACATGGTACATATATTGTAAAGAAACAACTCAACAAATTGGCCGCACATGCATGCAACTCTGCATTGACCCTGACATTAAGTTGGCCCTTGCAACCCCCCACCACTCTCCCCTCTCCACTATGAGTGGGTCGCAGCAAACTTTAACGCAAACACGTGCCAGACATGCACGTTTGACCAACCACATCCGCATGCCGTCGTTGAAACAATGGAGCCAGTCGCCCCAGCCCCATCTGCATACCCCACAAAACCCCATGCCGAAAGGTCCTGTCTGCCCCAGACCCTGCCCGACATCGAATGAGTAATCCGAACTAAAGCTAATTAAAGGCCAGCGGCGAACTTGATGCCAAGGCCGAGGCCCCAAGTCGCCAAAGTCGCTCTCCAGGCCGTTTGTCAACACCGCCATTCATTTTGGTGTTCGAGAAGAGCCCTAAAAAATCCAATGCACTGAGAGAAATTTGCAGTGGGAAAAGCAAAAGTGAAACTGAAAATATTCTGTTGGAGCTGGTGAGATATTTAAGATTTTAAGCCAAACTTTGGAGTTATTTTCGACCCAAACTTGTGATAAAAATATATATAGAAAAGGTCGAAAAAACTGTCAATAATTGAGATAGCAAGATGGGGCTTTAGTTATTAAGAATTCGAGTAATAATAATATATGTTTAAACACTTTTGCCCGTAAATACAATTATTTTCTGTCATATAACACCCGACTTTCAGTCAAATTTACTGAGCATAAACTAGTTCTGACAGTGTACTCAGCGAAAGCTGAGCTCAACCCCTGAAACTAGAGCAGCGGAAAGTGCAAGTATCTAAGAAAATTGCTCATTTATTTAGCCTAAAATCGGCGAACAATTAATATAATGGAAACCTAATCCATTATTTGTTATATTTATTTATTTGATAATTATTTGTAGCTACTGCTCAGTTTCTCCGAGTGCATACAGTAAAAGCAATCTTGTTGAACTGCCAGCAGACATCTTCATTTTCCGTCAACATTTATAAATCCATTCAAGGGGGGCACTTACTCATTTGTACAGCTCTCTCCTCCAACCCCTGGCTGTTTGCTGTGGATAGTTTTCACTGTATTTTGGCTTTGACAGTTTTGGCAATATATATAAATTTTAATAAATGCACCGAAGGCCAACGTTTTACTGTCAAACGGTTGTCGGCACTTCACTTGGAGCGGAGGGATGATAACCAATTCGCCTCGTCTAACCTCAGGCCTACGCAAATGCCACAGCCAGAATAGAATAGAATGGCACCCAGTCCGCGGATCCACCTGACTAAATGCCACGGAACCCCCCGTCAGAATGAGCGCTAACTGTTATTTTGTTTTACGAGCAAAGTTTCCTTGGAAATGGCTATGGAATTCGGATACCGCTCATACGGGCATGATACACTGGCTCTGACGACGATTACAAGCCCCGTTATGCGTCCTCGACACCAAGGCGGAGTGCGAAGAAGTAGAAAGAGGAGCAAAAGGAGGAGCAGATAGAGCAGCAGAAAGGGGAGCAGCTGGACTGGCGTCATTGTCTTTTGCGTGCCTTGAAGCTGCCTAGAATTTGCGTGATTCAGCATGATGCATGGGGCATGGGCTCGGCGCTGTGTCCCCAAAAAGTTTTCGCCCAAGCAACTCGAATGCAACACTCAACGACCCGGGCGTGTTTTGGCGCGTCTTCATGTCTGCTTTAATTACTGGAACTGGAACTAGTTTCGGCACCACTTAGTGCCAATAAAATGTCAATTGCAGACACACGAAACCCGCCAGTCGCGACCTTGGGCTGGGTCCCCGGTACATGTTTTGGTCATTCAGGGAGCGGGCATGGCATATCAGTCCAAATTATGGCGATTAAAATGGATTTTTTTCGGCATAGACCCGGTGGGTTGTGGTGGCTGGGATGGATGCCTCCTTCTCCGGCATAGAAATCCTCACAGCTGTGCGGCATAAACAAAACGCAGAGAAACAGCGAGAGGCAGCAAGGAGAGAGTGAGTGAGAGAGAGAGAGAGAGAGCGAGAGTGCCGGCTTCAGTGACACGTGCTCGAAAATGTGTCCGGCACAACGTGGCGTATACGTATTGCGCGGACGCCGTGGCCATTTTCCTTTTACCCAAACTGTTTATTCGCTTTTGTAGCTGTTGTTGGCTTGTAAATGTAACTGTTGTTGCCGCCTAATGTGCTTAGAAAACGCATCCCAAACCAACGAAAACTGTGCCGCTGCCGCTGCTGCTGCTCCGGCTACGGTGTACAGTTACGTTACGCCAGGCAACCGCACAACGGCAAGCGGCAACGTGCAAAACAAAAGGCACAAAACTCCCTTCGTCACTCACATCTAAGGACACGCTCCTTTTGCGAAACAGAGAAACAGAGCGAAAGCGGAGAGTGGAGAGTGAGAGTGAGAGCGAGTGAATGTGATGGCAACATGTGAGCGCATCGCACACGCAGTCCGCTCTGCTCCGGTCCGAGGTGGGAGGTAAACACAAGGAGGACGAGCAAAAACAAAGAGCAGGCACACTGAGAGAAATTCGTGAGTGTACGTGACATGTAGATTAGGCAGGGGTGGATGGGAACAATTTCAGAGCAGATGTAAGCAAAAATGCACAGGTGTGCACTAGAAGGAGGGTAAAAATACCTGGAAACGAAAGTTAGGAGTAGTCAGACAGACAAGAATTAGAAAGTAGTTAACAGAAATAATTATAATAAAGAGATATTTAATTAACTTTTCCTTTTGCATTCGAAACATTTTAGAATATTTTTGTAGATTTTTGTGTGTTTTAGGAACCAAATCATCCAAAACCTTTAACTACCGTGAAACAAGAAAATGAAATCAAATTAATTATGCAATCAATTCATAGTTTCCTCGTGGGTGTATAGTGCTCTGCCGTTTGCACACACTTTTTACTGCAAGTGTACTGCAAGAGAGTGAGAGCTTTAAAGCGCGAGCGTAAATCTCTCGCGAGGCTGAGCGCAGAGAGAGAGAGAAAGCGAAACCGAGCGGCGACGCAGAACGTTAGAAGAGGACGGGCGGACGGCGCCGCTGCCACGTTGCAGTTGGCTTCGTTCTCGTTCTCGAATTTGCAATATGGAAAAGAAGCGGCACGGCAGCAGCGAATAACAGTGAAAACAGCAACAGCATAGAAACGTGTGGCAACATCTGCTGCTGCTGCTGCGGTTTCTGCTGCTGCTGCTGCTTCTGTTTTCTACTCCTGCGACTGCTGCTGCCGCTTGGTGCTTCTGCTCCTTGGGACTCGAAATCACATCGTTGTCGTCAGTCAGTGAGTTCAGTTCGGGTTTTTTTCATTGCGGAATTAAACGAACAACAACAACCAGGGGATAAACCAACATCCAAGGCGAAGGCAACAACAGGAGCAGCAGCAGCAACAGCAACAGCAACAAACAGCAACGGCAATTCATCCACAGCCAATGCAAAAAGTTGATCCTCCAGCCGCAATCGAATTAGCCGAAGTAGAACTCAATTTGCCTGTGCGTGTGCAACTGTGCTGTGGGTGCTTAACTTGTGAGTGTGTGTGTGTTTGTCTGCGTCCTTGGGGGCCGCCTGGCTGGTCAGAAACGGTAATAACTTAAACGGTATCCGAAAGCGATTCGGAGCCCACGACCCACACACAGGCCAGACGACAGTCGCAAAGCCAAAGCATATTTACATACAACCCACACACAGCAGCAGGCAGCAGGCAGCAGCAGCAGCGCCAGCAGCTGAATCAGGCCAGACCGGGTCCTGAAAATCAATTTCTAATTAAAACATAATACATATTCAACAAAAGCGGACTCAAATTTAACGCAAGAAAAAACGTTCAAGTACAAAAAAAGTACGAAGAAAACAAGTACAAAAAAAAGTACGAAGCAAAAAAAGAAAGCAGCATCAACCCTTCCCAGTTCCAGTTCCACGTCCCACGTCGCGCACTCCTCTCGTTTGGGGACTCGCCATGCTGGACTAGCAGCACACGCCTGTTGGGACACAGCCGTGCAGCCGTAAAGAGAGTACCGTACCCGTGTCACATCGGTTCTGCCAGACGCCGCCGCCGCCTGGTTAGGCCTGTCTGTGTGGAGGTGCAACGGGGGCTACAACACAAAAAAGGGGTTCCTCAGGTACCGCTTTCCAGCAGCTGCAACGATAATTGTGTCCTGCGTCTATCGCTATCGATATAAAAAGGTTCCATCAATCAATCATACAATCCAGCATACAATTTCGGGTCACTCTCTCTCTCTGTGTCTCACTCGCTCTCACTGTGTGAATCTCAGCCTGCCGACATCTCCATTCGAAAAAGGCCTAACCAAAGCAGCGAAGCAATTTCATCACAAAATTATCAACAACATTCAGAGCTGAAAGAAATAAATATATAAAATATATAAAAATATAAATAATAATTAAAGAATTTTCTAATAAAAAAATTAATCTGTGATTCGCATATAAAAAAGAAAACAAAAGAAAAGAACAAAATACAGCAATTATTTTCATACTGCACTTTATCCAAAAGAAACCGAAAAAACAAAACCAATACAAATTCTATGATAAATGCATATAATTTATTAAACATTTTAACACAAACAAAAAATAAACAAACTAAAAGACATAATATATAAAAAGTAAAATAAATAAAAACGGCACACGCAATAGCAGCAGACACGCCTCGAGGGTAAGGCCAAGAACCACAGCAGCAGAAGCAAAAGCCACCGCAACAGCGCAGCAGCAGCAGCAGCAGCCGCTCGACACCGAACCGCAGCAGCAGCAACAACAACAAATTCACACAAGGTCAACGGAATTAATATTTTTTGTAAGTTCCGCCACCGCCAGTCATACAGTCATACGGCATCATAAGAGTCTAAATCTATCGAAATATTTTTGTGGGTACACTTTATTCACTTTTTCGCTTTAATTGCAAAAATGTCGCTAACATTGCTGTGCGCCATTCCCGCGAGAGATATGCACATGTGCATGTCAATTATCATGGCTGTGATGCGCCTCAAGAAATCGCATTTGCGAAATCTACGGCCAAGGGCCCGGCACTAATGTACCAAATCGATCGGCCGAACACCCTGCAAGTCCAAGACAGTGGAAGGGGTTGGGTTGTGTTTGGGAAGTGCTTTGGAATTTGTTTAAATTATAAATGGATTTATGATGATAATGAGATATTCCTAACTTTCAATTCACTTTATTATAGATTTTATTTTACTTTTCCCATTTTTAAAACATTTTCTTGCTATGAGTTGGCTTTTTAATGGGGTTTCTACCCAACCTTTTCGTTGCCTACTTACTTGGAAAATTTTATATCAAATTTCCATAATCCGAATTTGTTTTTTCTTGGCTTTCTTCAACGCCACTAAAAGACTGTCGAAATGAGAAAGTACTACAATTAGTTCTCATTCTCTACATTCTTTCTGTGTTTAATTAAAAATTCTTTGTCTTTTCTTGAAGAATTAAGGAAACTATTAGAAAGATCGATGAGGCAGATAATTTTCTAGTGTTTCTGACTCGTTTCGCCTTTCATAATCCTTGTCCCCTTTTTTTCGCATAATTTATTTCTGCCATTCTGCCATCACCCCCTTCGATCTTTCCATTATTTTCCTCAAATCTTCTTTTATTTTTACTTTTCTTTCCACTTTGAAGTGATCCTTTCAATAGATCCCACTTACATCTGCCGTACTCTATTGTTTAATCTTCCAAATCCTATCCTGGAAATTATTCAGAAATCCATTCAATTTTCTCCTCCAATTCTTTACACACTTCCGCCATACTTATTTCTTATTCTTAATATCCGACCTCCTGGAATTTTGCCAATCTGTCCATCCATTCATCCCATTCCCTGCTCAGCTCACATTCATCCCCCTGCCTTTCACTTTCTGCATGCCTCAACCCTCCTGACATTCTTTTCTCGGGAACGGAGGACCAACTTCATGGCAAATTCATGAGACCCTCCCGGGCGGAGGTTCTTAAAAATTAACGCATCGCAGCCATAGCCATAGCCATAGCCATAGCCCATGCGGCATCTCAATAATTAGGCCAACAGCAAAAAGAAGCAAAAACAAAATAAATTGGCTGACAAGTGCGACGGCATGCCACAGGTAGGGTAGGGGAACGCGACGAGTGCGAAGAGGAATCGGGAAGTCGCGCAATCGGGAAATCTGAATCTTCGTCTGGGCCACCGCCATGGGGGGTGTCGCTGTGAAATGTCAACGGTATTTTTATCCATAAAAATCAACAAAATTGTAATATCTCCTCCCCGTTCTCGGTCTAGGTTTTGGATCTCCCTTCATTATGTTTCATCATGCAACAATCCGCCCCAACCCCCCACCAAGTGTGTGCTCTTCACAGGAATAGAAAAATCGCTTAGGTCTGATATTGATTTTGTCTTGCAGTAGGAACCCACATGTAGTCCCTGTCTGTGCCGGAGCAGACGTGATGCAGATACATGGCAGATATCTTGGGCAGAGGTGGCCCCGCTCTTGGACTGGTCTGGGCCAGGGCGGGGTCCCCACGTGCCACCTTGGGTTATGTATGTACAACATGACTAATACTAATTCCAGCCAGCATGTGCCGCCCCGTTATTACGTTCATTTTGGGGGCACACAGCGACCAGCACACAAATAACTGCAGTAAATAGTCATAGTAACCCCCAGGGGGGTTGGGCCCAGTCCATGAACGAGTGAAGGATAATGATATTTGGCGCATTAGTCAATCAATCACAAGCGGAAATCAATCAAACAAACAAAAATACGAAAACAGACAAATTTAAGTGCCAAAATAAGAGCAAGGAGAACTTGGAAGATGGGAATTATTCTTGAAAACCACTCATTAGACATGGAAGGTATTAATTAATATTTACGCAAATTCTGAGGAGAATCTATGGGAGCTTTAGGATTTTAATTGCTAAATGTAAGTGCCAAAATATCAGCCATAATCTTGAGACAATTGTTTGGAATGAAAGAACTCTGCCAAAACTCCAAAATCAGATATGAAAATTATTCTTGTGAACTCCAGTAATATTCAATTTAAATGTTCCCGTCACCTTCATTCCTGATACGTTAACTGCCATTCAAGTGCTCCATTACCTCCCTAATTGGCCTAAGATTTCAGTTAATCAAATAAAATTGATTATTGGACGAAATTTCGATGATTAGCCTTCAAAGTTCACGTCTTTTGGCATTGCACTTTGCTTGGTAATTTGCCTAAATTGCTGTTGTCCTTTCGCTGTCACAATCCATTTGCATGGCTAAACAGGTAAAAAATAGCAGTCACATATGTAAATACACTCCTCATCGTATGAGTTCGCTATGCACATGTTCCTTGGAAGCACTTGCAACGGAGCATCCTCACCATCCGGTTGTGCTGTGGCGGCGCCCACTCTCTCGATCTCTCTCCGGTTCCTGCTGTTGTTGTGTTCTTTTTTTGGTAACTTTTCATTTCACTTTTTTGTCGTTGAGCTCTGCCCTTGAAAGAGGCCAAAACGTAAGACCTTCATATACGTGTACATAGGGTTTCCTTGAATATAAGTATAGCCAAGAGAAAAATAAATTCGTGGTACATTTTGCAAGATGATTAAACCCAAACTTAAACTTACATTTATTTCTTCAACTTTCTTTTGGCAGAAATGGAAATCATTCCTGAAGGTAAACACTTTCGTTTGGTGCATGAATCAGAGCTTCCAGAAATTTTGGTAACTTTAGAGCGCTATCTGCCGGAATCATTAAAGGTACGTACATAAAATCCATCCCGTTACTCTTTGCTTCCCTTATTCTGGTCAAATATGGCGCTGTACTTGTGGCTGTCTTGACACCCAGAGAAGCGCTACCACGCCCATTTCTCAGATAATTTACCAACAATTACCTGCAACTCCCGATAGTCAGGAGGCGTTGCCACAACCCCGCCTAGGCCACAAGTCATGCAACCTCAAACCCCCAGCACAGTACACAGTACTCGCCTTTTACCTCGTTGTTGTTTCTCTCTCTCTGTTGACCCGTTTTCACTGTTTACGCTGACTTTTCTTCTCTTCTTTTTGTTGTCCCCCCTGCCCATTCCGTGGCTATATCTGTGGAGTTTTTTCGGCGGCCTGGCACCAGCCTCAAGGATTTGAAAGTTGGCTAAAGTTTCGATTTTCACAGTGAAAACGTTTTTCCCTTTATTCGGGGCGTTTACCAACAGCTTTCGGAATGTGCATTTTCCAACCAACACGTGACTGAATCATTTTTGTGTTCATTTTCTGCATTAAAGCGGGGATTTGGGGGATTTTTTTTTATATTTTTGTTTTGCAGCAAAGGGAATTAGCGGCAGGACAGAAAAAGTGTGAGTCCAATAAAAGGAAGTAAAATGTAGCTGGGAGTCGTCTTTCGATCTTCTCTAAGTTCTAAATGTAGTCTGGAAGAAACTAGGAAGCTCCAGGGTATTTCGTAGGCTGCTATTTCTATCCCCTTTCTATTTTCTTTAATTTGAACCCAAAACTTTAAATTTTAATGCAATTTTTTGTATATTTCTTTTGCAGTTTCATCAAACCATAAAAACGTACCTGAATGATCGTATTTGGGATTTTAAGTTTTATGTTGCCAAAGATTGGCCCGAAAAACCAATAATTCTTCATTTTCCAGGATGCACGCTTGCGGTGAGTACACGAAACCCCTCAAATGATCACCCAAAACTATAGCAAAAATGATGTAAATTCTCTTTTCAGCCACACAACAATATTTACCAAACTTTGGGCATATTTTGCCCATCCGCACACATCGAGCATATCGATATGATGCGCACCGAAAATGTACTTATAGATTGGCAGAAGCCTATGTACCTGAACTTTACGCACATCGCCATTATGAATCGCCTGGATGATTTCTACTCGAAGTTTGGGGTGATGGAGCGACTCAGTGGTGATATTTATGTGTGCAAGAAGCTCAATGCGGAATTGGAGCTGGAACCGCTGCCGGAGGATGCGGAGATGCGTCTGCTGACCCTCGACAATGTGCAGGGCATACACGAACTATATCCTGCCAATGAAATCGAATGCGTTCGGCTCTTTGACATACTCGTGCGTAAGCTGCCCGGTTTGGGCATCTTTCGCAAGGACACCAATGAGCTGGCCGCTTGGATGGTCCACTCGTATTACGGTGCAATGTTTTCAATGCAAACACGTCCAGATTATCGTCGCATGGGGTGAGTATGAATGTACAGAAACACCTACCTATAGAGCATTGAATTTCAACCAATAATTCATTCAATCTCCTTCCCAGCTATGGCATTCGTTTGGCCAAGTCTTTGACTCAGTTGGTCATTGAGCGTGGCTACACGCCCTTCGTTGTGATACGTCCAGGGAATGATGCATCCCGCAATCTGTACACGAAGCTTGGCTACGAGAAGGCCTTCGAGACGTGCCGCGTGCGTATGACGCCCGATTGCTATGAGGACAGCACAGTGGGCACCATAAGTAACTCATCCTATGCCAAGTTTCCGCCGCTACCTCAGGGCGAGTGCGTCATTGTGGCGGGGCGTAAGGTGGGGCCCGGCTACAGCCAGAGCCAGACCGTCGACGAGGGCATCGAGGATATGTTGGCTGAAAAATGTGATATCCGCAGCGATGAGGCAAGGCCCAAGACCACAACGGACGAGGGCATTGGCGAGGACAAGTAGTAGGACACAAAGATTTCGGCGCCTATACCTACGCTAATACTTATGCTTAAAGCTGTAAGCACCACTCTTAGGACTCTTTAGGACAGACAGGACACAAGAAAAAACAAGGCACAACAGAACAAGTGGCGCTGATTTTTTAAAAACAATTCAAAACATATTAATGGGAAAACTTACGAGTATATTTATAGATGGTATATGAAGCTTCCTCACAGAGACAGCATGGCGGAGAGAGAGAATCGTCGGAGTGCGCGGACATTTCGATGGCAGTTAAATAATGGATTTATTTTATAATGGGGGAATTGATAAACAATTCGAGATCAAAGTCTACGTAGGGAATGAACAAAAAAACATACAAGAAACCAGAAAAACAAATGCTGAAGTCCGAAATTTTTTAAAAGCGAAACAGTGGGAGAAACTGAAAGAGAGAGAGAGCGAAAGCAAGAGAGAGAGAGAGAAACTTTTAATTTTTTGCTAAAAATGCTTTTACAAAAATGAACTCCAAGAACGTGGAACAAGCACAAAAAACGAAGGAAAGAATGACATACAAAATAAAATAAAAGGAGCGCATCAATTTATTATAAACTATTATATATATATATATTATTATATATTAACTCTATATATCAAATTGTTAAATGAACTAAACGAAAACACACAACAACAACTAACTACTTCTCTCTTCTGGCTCTACACGCGACAACAGCAACAACAAAAGAAAACTCTCTGAAACCAAAAGGAAATGAAAATCCAACAAATATTTCGCTTGGGCCATGGAACAGAGCTTTGCACGCGTTTCCGCCTCCTCCTCCGCCTCTTTTTTTGTGACAATTTAAATGAAACCCAAATACTATACAAGACAAATATATTTTTCAGATAATACTCTAAAATAATTTCTGTGCCCAAACGAAGTGATTTGATTTTTGAGACGAGGCAGACATTTGGATTTTTAGGCTTTTTTCAAATTTATATATACAACAAAAAAATACCCCAAATGAAAGGATAAACAAACGAACAAAAAGCGAAAACCAAAACAAAAACAAATACAACAAATAAATATATATATTTTATTATTACGAAATTTTATTAAACTATGCAAACGAGTACTCAATGATCAATGATTTTTTGCTCCTATTTAGCCTGAACTAAAAAAAAGAGAAAAATGAAAATAAATAAAAAACACGCCAAAGATGTCTTCTGCTTGATTTTAAGTACATACTTCCCTACCCCCAACCCTGAGAATCTCCTCACTACACCCACTAACTCCCATGGGCGCTGCAGTTCCAAATGGTTCGGTCTTGATCCCATGGAGAATTTTCAATTATAAAAAACTCCCAAAAATATATGCAAGAAAATCAAATTAAATGAAAAAGTTATATATTACAAAAACTGCTATATTGTATGTACTCGAAAAAAACAAAACATAAGAAACCAAAAACCTAATGAAGCAAAGTTAAATAAATAACAATATTGAGACAGCAAACTCTGAAGGTGTTTCCTGCACTTCACTCAAACGAAGGAGATAAAAAATTACAACAGCAAGACCAGAAAATGCTCATCAAAGTTAGTAACTAAACACGTTTGATGCTCTATTAGAGGGTATTCAAATTTACGCTAGTAGCTTGCTGAATCATTTTCATTCATTCTGCAATTCTCATTCTAGATGCAGATTTCTGTGCTTAATTCAAACGACACTGACTCAATGGGAATGTAAGTGTAATTTTTGTCTTTCTCTTATTTCTGCAGACTGCAGTTGTGCAGAGACCCTTCTTTTTGCTGAACAAGATTCAAGTTGCTAGATTCATCAGAAAACAATAATATGCGAAAAAGATATTCCAATGCACATTGCGGAAAGATTTCTTATTACATGAGACTCAATTTGTGGCATAAAATGCATAAAATGAATCAATGCATAGCAATTAAAAGTACATCTAATATCTATATCTGCACTTCGAAGATATATTTTCTTTCATAGTACAGAAAAGTTGCAATCTTTAAGGAAAGTTTTCCACTATCAAAACTCAAATTCGCTACCCAACACCACAATTTGTAGCTAGCTCGAATTTACACAAAAGGTTGTTTATACATACAATTATTTTGTATAATTTATGGGCTTACTTCTGCCACTCAAACAGCAACAGAACAGAGAGCCACAGCTAGAGTACATACTGCGCTAATGTTATCTCTCTGCCTCTTTTTAATGAAATTTACGTGTACAAACACGCCGGCGCGCTTAGACAAACAGGGCGGTACAGCAAGGCAAGGCTAGCACACACAGCCACAGAAACATGCATGAAAGATGATAGATGAATGAATGTGGCAAATGTGTTGAGTGCCTGCCTGCAACATGTCTGGGAAACCTTCAATGTTGGTTACACTTTTAATTTTATTTCTGTATAAAGAAAGGCCTAAGTACGTAGATAGATTTAAAACTAATTCAAAGCGAATGTCGTTGCTGGATTGCGGGAACTATGCCATTGCCTGCTCAGAGCTCTTGTTCAGCTGGTCCTTCAAATGGTTGGCCACATACTGCCAGTACTTGCGGCGAATCACATCATGTTTGTTGGACATGTCATCGCACAGGCCGTACACTTTGCGCGCCTTCTGCTCACGGTCGCTGATGTCCTGCTGCAGTGCCTGCTCCTGGTAGAGGTCGATCAGGAAGGCCATCAGATACGGCGAACGGTTGCCGGCCTGGTAGAGCTCCTCCGCAAATTCCACCACCGCTGGATGATTGTTCAGCAGCCCGTAGCCGTACTTGCTCTGTCGTATGACACCCACCAAATAGTTCCAGGCACTTTCGTTGTTCTTAATGATGCGAATGCGGTTCATGGCGTAGATCAGCTCTTGATCGACGAGGTTGGGGCTGAAGCCATAGTGCTTGATCACAAAGAAGCGCTGATTCCAAGCGGAATTGTTGCGTTGGTCTTCACCGATCAAGCGATCCACAAACGACAGTTCGGCATCGTAGAGGCTGCAGTTAATATAAAATGTAAGCCTAGAGGAAAGAGAGGTTTGAAATCGCCACTCACTTGAATGTGCGTATGGCCCACTGGCGATGCTGCCAGGCATGATAGTTCTTGGCATCTCCATCGTTTATCAGCGCATTCTCTGTCAGCTCCAGCTCGTTGCTGGCATCGTTCAGCATCTCGACAATGACGCGCCGGTGATGCCACACCTGATAGTTCTTTGAATTCTGCCCGATAACCTCGCTGAGGTAGTTCAGCTCCACATTGAGGTCGGCCTTCAGTTCGCGCAGTATGTCGCGCCTGTATTGCCACACCGTGTAGTTGGCCGGGTTCAGGCGCAGTGCGTCTGTTGTCAGATCCAAGGCACGTTGGCTCTTCTCGCCACATGCTATGATGGCACGCATGTAATCAAACACCTCGCGAACTGCAAGCAAACATTACACACAGTCAGTCTGGCGCACTCTCTCGTTTCAGGTTAATCTCATTCTCGGCGCATTACTCACACTTCTGGCTGTAGGCTATGGACACAACTGGGTTCGGGCCGTCATCCTGGGGCAGCGGCGCTACATCGGACCACTCCGGGCGCTCGCTGTACGGAATCCATTCCATGCCCAAGTATTCGTCATCCGAGCTGTCACCCATTGCTGTGTTTCTTCCAATTTGTGTAAACAACTGCTTGACTGGATGGAAATTTGGCGAATATGATGGAATAATGGAATCGGAAAGAGTTTTTATCAGCCGCTGGAGCTCGAATGTGTGTATGGCATTATCGATGTGTGTATTTGTATCGATATTTGTGTGCGATAAGCCCCAATTCTAGATGAAACTAGTCTGAAGGGCAGAGATGGCTGAAAATATGACCTACATTAGTGTTTGTACCATCATCAGGACTTCCGTTAAATTATCTAACTAAATATTTCTCCCAGAAGATGTATGCAAATACATACTATTAATAACATTTATATTTTAACATGCCGCTGCGCGGGTCCACCAACCAAAAAAACAAATTCATATCAAAAATACATTTTCCTCTCTCTTCGATCTTTTTCCAGAATTCATATTTAGTTATATCTGGAGTGTCACACATCCTTTAATTGTAGTACATTTGGGAACGCCCATCGCTAATATCGATAGCTTCATATGGAACGATACTTTTGAGTAACGAATTTTCGGAATTAGCAAAACATTTATTACGAATTGAATAAAAGTGCGCAAAGTGCACCAAATGGACTTAATTGCTAAACGTAGACATTCTCCGTGCGCGTTAAACTACATATTAATTAGAGTTCTCCTAAAAACGTGGCTTAAAAGTGGCCGGATACTGATTAAAACGTGGACGCAGTGCAGCATTTGACTTTTCAAACTTCTCGCCCGAATTGCCTAAAATGACGCCTTCGACCAGCTTGCCAGAGCCAACGTCTTTGAGATGCGACTGGTCTGCTGTTGTGGCCTCGGCTACGTCAATGATGCGCGGATTCTTGCGATAGCGATACCACCAATACTCAAAGACGAGCGTAATGCAGGCCATGCCAATGCCCACAAAGATGACAATGAAGACGCCGCCAATGTTCTGTATGGATATGCCATCCGATTGATCCTCCGGCTTGTCGCACTTGGCCTGCGCCTCATCATTCTTCCACCACTTTTCCTTGAGCTTCTCCAGCTGGCGTTTGTTGAGCAGCGTCAAGATGCTGTGGAAAGGCAAATTATTTCAATCTCCCTTTAATTATGTATCACCAAACTCACGCATTATTAAACTGATCCTTCAGATGTGAGCCCTGCTGCACAGCTATGGCGTAGGGCTTGCGGGAGAACTCCTCGCCCACCACCTGCAAATCGCAGTTGGTCAGCTGCAAGTACCGTATATCCGTGGCGTCTCCGAGGAAGGCAAAGCCCGTGGCAGCTGTAGAGTTTCGGACCCTTGCCACTGCCTCATCGAGGGTGGCTGGCAGTGCTGCCTCCTGCATGGCCTGCCACATTTTGGTGTACTTATCGCTCACAGGATAATCCCAGACAGCCAGCTTGGAGCGCTCCAGCGGCGTGAGTGAATCGTTCAGCGACAGATCCTTCCAGATCTCATAGAACATCTGCTCAATGTTGGCCATGCGCTCAAAGTACGTCATGGCCGAGGAGCCATTGAGCGGAGCATAGAGGATTTTGTATTGCTTGGCCAGATCATCCAAGCTCTCGACGGGCGTGTCCAAACGGGAGACGGTGAGAAAGGCAGCCAAGTTGGCGGTGTACGAGGCAATGATGATGAAGCTAAAGGGAAAGACACCAAATTAAACGAAAGAATTGGCAAGAAGGAAGTTTCAACGCACCCAAAGAGCCACCAAGTGGCAGCCACCAGTCGCCCGGACAAATTCTTGGGTGCCTCGCCACCTCCTTGGGGCGTCAACGAAGTCATGCAAAACCACAGGCACTCCTTCAGATTGAACTCACGCTTCTCCTCATCATCCTTGTACTTCTCGCGATTGTTCTGATAGCTGTACGGACTCCAGCGATCAAAGACCCACATCAAGAAGCTGGTAAAGAAATAGGCTGCCAGAATGCACAGCCACACATTCGTCTCCAGCACGGTGAGGAATTTGAACAGCGAACTCGGGGAGCTGGGACGCTGCATCATGATGGTGATGCCCACCAGATCGTAGTACGGCACCGTAAAGTCAATGACAATCTCACGCTCAGCCATCACGGACATGCTGCCCAGACCAATGTCCGCCTGCTTGTCGATGAGTTTCTTGACAATGCCATTCCATTCGCCTTTTTCATCCATGTTGCCGAACTTGCCATCCTCCACCTCTTGGATGGTGTAATCAAAGTGTACAATGGCCGCAATCTCGTTGATCAGATCGATGCAGTAGCCTTTGTATCCTTTCGGAGCAGTCTCATCGCGCATGATGAAGGGAGCTTGCTGTGGAGCAGAGAATCAGAAAGTACACACTTGGATCAGAGCAGGGCCATCTATTTGGCACCCACCACAACAGTATAGATCCGATACACCGTATCCGCTGTCAGATTCTTCATTTGCTCCTCATCCTTGACTGTCAGTGGAGTGTCCAGTCCTGCTGTCCATGTGCCAATCGATTTGCTGTTCACCGAACTGCCGCCACGTATCTGCAGCACATTTATGTCCATTTCGAACTTCATGTAGCTGAAGCCATTGAACGGCTGCTTCGGTTGCGTGACCAGCTCAAAGGTGCCATACGAAGTGGGTTCGCTTATCTACGGGGGGGTAAGGGAATTATTTGTTTTTTGTTGAGTAATCAATTATAATTGAGGCTGTACCCACCTTGGTGAAGTATTCGCGTAGATCAAGATTCCGTTGGGGCGTGTTGCCGCCTTGAAAGTCGTCACAGTTCAGATACTCCATGTCCTTGGGCCAGGCGCCCGATTGAAGCATTTCTCTGAGGAACGGGAAGAAGATAAAGACCGTAAACAACAACGAGAGCAGGAGCGAGAACAGGAACGGGAACGAGAAGGAGAAGGAGAGCCGGAAAACTAAACTCAAAAGGAACTCACTTGATGGTCAGAAAACTCCGCAGCGCCAAATCAAAGTAAAAAGCCGACGCCAACTGTGGCTCCTCATTCAGATTGTAAGTTGTGCGTAGCAGGCCCAAACGATCCCGAAATTGTGTATACGCCATGGGCTTGAGGAACATAATCGTCGCATTGTCCCGCTGGCTGCTCACCTCGCCCTCGTTCTGGGTGATGGCGTGCCAGGCAAAGTTGCGCTCAAAGTACGCAGGCTTCACGGACTCGAGGACCATGCGTATGGACTGCAGATTGCCCAGAATGAAGAAATTATTGATGTCCAGATTGCGCAGCTTTTCGATTTGCTCCTCGCGCTCCCGCTTGCCCTCCGTGGCAATGGCTGTGATGACATGACGAGTTTGGATGTTCTGCAGCAGGGACTTGTACTTGTGATCCATGACAAAGGTTTCGTCGTAGAGGATGGCAGCTGTGGAAGGATAAAATGTATTCAGGGGTAAAGTGTGCAAAGTCCTCCTACCATTGGTAATATTGAGTCGCCGCACAATGCTCCGTATGACCTCGGGTATAATATCTCCCGGTGGCATCACCTGCAGCAAATACCTTTGCTTGGCATCATCCAGGTCACGCCACTGCCGCAGATCCCCCTCTTGACCATACGAGGCGCTAATGGTGGGCAGTCCCAACGCCTGGGTGAAACTCTTCACCGTCTCCGAGGCCACGCCCGACTTGGTAGTGTCCAGAATCAAATGGGGCATCATTTTCTTCTCAATGCTTTCGGCATACTTGTTGCAAACTGAGCAAAGGAATTATAGGTGGAAGATCTGTGGAAGATTTCACACGATTCACTCACTTGCTTCCAGCAGCACCTTGGCATCCGTTTTATTGGCCTCAATCGATTCAATCTGCACGGACAGGCCATAGCGCATATTTTTCTTCAGATAAGTCAGCACCACATCCACTGCCTTGGCCGCCGGCTCGTTGTCCACCTCATTGATGAAGACTAGCAGCACAATGTTGAATGGCATTTTATTGGGTTGGACGAGTAGCCATGGAACATTTAATAAATACATTTATTTAGAATAATATTCATTTGAAAATTAATCTCTAATTTCAAACATAAAATGATGTCCCACCAGCCCCCATATTCGTGGATATCTTAGATCTTCATTGCACTTAAGCACTTTATTAAATTGTTTCACATTTTCCATGCACAATCTTCCATTAGATCACATTAGAAAATGTACTCTAATTATTTCACAACTTCTATATCCCTGATCTCATATATCCTATATATCCATTTATAAATCGATGGCTTTGCGCACTTACACACATTAATATTTTGCGTCGTCTGGGCCACTATCTCTTGATTCCAATTGCTTAGAAGCGTCAACAGTACGAGAATCCATAAATATTTGAAAGTCTTTAAGCAAACATCCAACATGGCAGCGGGCACATAGGGTGGGGGATACCGTTCCGAGATCTCAGCAATTGACTGCACGCCACGAACTACAAATTACAACTGAATGGGGCATATCCTGTCCGAAAGGATAGCTCAGCCAATGCCACTGACAATTTCACTTTCAATGTGCGGACAATGTTTGGACATGTGTGTAACCTTGGTGATAATCAATTTACTGTGTAATCACCTCCCCAAACCCACAACCTGACCACAAACTCTGTGTCTAGTCTGGTGTTCGTGCCGGAACAGAATTTGGGCGATAATTAGGCGGATTCTATTGGTGTTTTGTTCGATGGAGTGGGCTTATGGCAGGAGTTATGATGAGGCATTGAGTGGCTTGTTATATTGTCACATAAACATGAAATAATTATTGGCCATTGGGCTGGGGCAACGTGTTCCCCGAAAAAATTAATTGGAAATGAATCTGGTGGGGGACGGGAATATCAAGAGGCTTTCCATTATTATTTATATAGAGACTAAAAGGGAATTAGTTCTTTGTTATCTGTTGATAATTCTACGATTCTCCCTCAATCTTCTCATCAACGAATTACTTTTATTCCGTTTCATCTCGTTCACTCCGCTAGGGCGCCAGCAGACAAGAGACAGTGAGCGAGCGTTTGGCAGGGGGTCAACGACAAGCATGAATCGACTAGACGACCCTTAATCAATATCAATTGATGCTTATCAAGAATATTTCTATATACACTATATATACACATGTGCATAATGTCTGTAGCTTTCTTTACATCCCGACTGCTTTAATCTTTGTGTATAAAAATACATTTCATTGGCTCGGAATTATTATGCACTTTCAATGCTTTTCCTTAGCTATCAGTTTCCCCGCCAGACGATTATCGCACTGCCTGCACTGACTCATTATATTTCTAATCAAAAGGGAGATAAAGTCCAGCGCTGCACATTAAATACAGAAGAAACAAACGCACATTTGACGAAAGTACAAAATGTTTTTTTGTTTTATTATTCTTGATTAATAATTTAAAAGTAAACGAAAGTAATTTGAATGGTAGAGTTTGTGCACCCTACAGAAGCGAAAAACGCGACCTAAAGATAAAAACTCTAAATGGATTATATGCAGCGAGCCGCACATACAGACACATAGAAGGTTTATAGCTACATTAGTGATGCTGTCCCAGTCGGAGGGTATGGGCTGTCGACTAGCGAACATTCGTCATTAATCGTAGATCCTAGTTTTATATTTAGTTGTAGTTGCAGTTGTATAGTTACAGTTATTACACTTAGACGAAACAGTTCACACAAAGACGAGACACGTACGCACATTGATCCAATTAATAATAATATATCGTATAATCATATATAAAGCCTATAAGCCTAGAGTTTTGTATATGCATAAATCTCACAAATTCCAGTCATCTGGTCCCGTCTCCTGTCGTATGACGGGCGGGGTAAGCGGTGCTTGGGGTGCACCAGGCACGGGTGTGGGCACCAGCGGTGTGGCGCCGCGCAGCGAACTTCCATAGTACGGTGGCGGCCGATAGCTGCTGATGCTCGGCGATGTGGAGCTGTGCGTGGACGAGGCAGAGGAGTCGCGTACTCGCGCAGCATCAAACACCGGCGCCTGGGCGTACCTATACGGTGGCCCAGTGCCAGGCGCCATTTGCGGCGTCTGCGATCGCGAGTGCGAGCGTTCACGTCGCATTTGCATGCGCTGCTGCTCCATGTACTGCTGCTTGCGCTGCTTCAGCAGCTGCTCCTCACGCTGGAGTAGACGCTGGCGCTGCTGCAGCTCGTACTGCTGACGCTGCATGGCACTGAGCCGGTTGGCCTTGCTCCACGGATTGCCGCCGAAGCAAAGGTTCGATATGAAGACCACCGGCGAGAACAGACGCAGCGAGATCTCACTAGAAAAAGGGGCAGTGGTTATTTTTAGACACACAAATCTATTACCGCACAATCTGTCACACTTACGTGGTGTCCACCATGGGCTGTGCCTCATTGCCGCTGAGTATGAAGAGTGGGAAAAATATGGAGAAGATGCAGCTGCTGACAATCACCGAATTGGACAGATTCGTGAGCACTGTCAGCGGTATGCCAAAGCCGAAAAAGTATGGCCAGTTCTTCTCTATGTAGGTGAGGCGTCGATGCAGCTCCCAGCCCATGTTGAACCACTTGTACTCGAAGGAGTACAGCGAGTAGAGCAGGCACAAATGCACAAAGCACAGCGACGAACCGACATACTTCACTGGCACCAGATTCACCAGCATACTTTGCACCAGGAACAGCATCTGCACCACCATGCTGAAGAGGAAATCAGCCACCAGTTTGCTGATGCCGGGAATCAGCTGCGGCCGACCTTTACGCACACGATACGCCGCATTGGCAATGTCCGCGAACCACAGCGAGCTGACAATCTTTGAGAGCATGAATATGGGCAGCACCCACATCATGCCAAAGAGCAGCGAAAGTATCGGGTGCAGCCAGGCCCACACCACGGGCAGTGTCTCCGACTGATCGCCGTAGAAGATGGTCAGGCAGAATTTCAGCGTGGGCAGCAGCGCCGACTCGAAGAGCTCAATACTCAGCCAGGTGAAGCCACCGTTGAGCATGCAGCATTTAAAGAGCTTCTTGGCGATCTTCTTCTCACTGTGGGGACGGGAGAGGCAACGCAAGTGCGCAATAAATAGATTAGTCATGCTGAGCAGCAGCAGCACTAGCTGTCTGGCTGTCTTTGTGTCACGTACCCCTGCGGCTGCTTCTGCTTCTCGGCGGCGGGTTTCTGGTTTAGAATCTTCTGCAGACTCCGCTCATCGGAGTTCTCCTCGGCCCGCTTGGCGTACTCCTCGCGTATCATGGCCGCCGCAGAGCTGGGCACTGGCGAGGGCGATCTCCGCGCCCTCTCATACCGATCTTTATCCGTTCTGCGCATTTGTCGCAGCTCCTGCTCGGCATTCTGGCGATTCACCTCGTTGTCAATGTGCAGGACGAGGGTCATGCCACGTATGCTGTCCCACAGCCCGTACAGTATTCCGTAGGCGATGTTCTGCGGGTGGTGCATGGTACAAACGACGCATTTAAATCAAGTATTATGTAGGCGAAGCGAGGCGGGCCCTTACCTTAATCGCAGCCATCTCACGGGCGGTCGTCTGTATCTGTGGTCGGTCTACAAAGCACTAGTTCCTTTTGTACACATTACGAGATATACATGCAAGCATATGAAACGTGTTAGGCTACTCTAAATTGTGTCGAAATGTTGGGAATAAATATGTTTGTTGTTGTGCGACGACGACGACGACGACGAAGAAGACAACGACGACATCATTTTTCGTTTACACCGCGCCAGATGCCACTTGATTTCCAGGTAAGCTGGACATGCATCGCTTACATACTTTACGCTATGCCGCTGCGGTGGGTAATCCAATTTCTCAAGTAGATTTTATAAACATTGAACTTTGTGCTGAATAGTTAATATTAACTTGTTTTGTTTTGCATGGTGTTTACCGATAATTTACGAATATCGCACATAACTACCGATGCATTTTTCCAGCTGGCTCTGTGCATCGATATGCAGAATCAAAAAACGCGGGTAAATAATTCCATGGCGAGAAACAACATTCATGGTATATTGAAATATTTAATTAATTTTGTGATATATAATAGCTAATTTGGAACTACATATTATCAAAACAAACACCACAACTAATTTCAAGACTAGTCTAGACTACAAATTTCTTAATCGGTACTTTTTGCCGATAGTTCCGCTGATATCACACTGCTATCTGTTTTCATATTTTCAATCTGTTCAGGACCGTCAAATATACCGTGAGTTTTCCTCTACTTGTTGAATTTCCGCCTGCACATATGTTAGTATACGTCTCTTTTTTTTTTTGCATATTTTTCTATGTTCTATGTTTTAAAAATAAGTAACAAAGCAACAGACGAATATTCGAGTGAGTTTTTGAATCAGCAGGCGACATTTTAACGAATAATAAGACCGCTGGGACAGTGATTAATTAGTATGCCGTTCGTGCCTAGTTTGCTGCGATAACGGGGTATTTGAGTATTAGCCGCTTTTCCTGGATTCAAACCTTGTTTACATATAGGAACACAGTAGTGTGTGTGTGTTGGGCGGCTGTGTGTGCATAGACAAACAGTTGGTTGGGTTGTTTTCAATACGCAAATAAAGTAATAAAACCTTAAACCCACTGGTGTCAGAGCACAAAGGTAAGGCCGTAACATACGGTGAGCGCTTAATTGATTACCATTATTAGTACCGTTAGTCAACAAACGGACGACCAGATCTGTCACGCCAGCTACCTGCTAACTGCGTGGGTTCTGTTCACCGTTAGGTGTACTCTTGTCTGTTTGTGTGTGTGTATACCTTGCAAAGATGCAGCATTTTTCATGTCGCTTTTATTGCAGATTAACCTTTACCAGCGCCCACGCCTGGCACCCTCCCCGTCGTGACAGCTCTCGTCCATCTGTGGGAATAATCAATACACACAACAACAAAGTCATGGTGCGGTCTAGTGATAAGCAACAACAGTAGGGCCACAGCCCAGCCCACCCGCCCATCGCCAACGACAACGCAAAAAGCAAACCAACCAAACGAGCAACCCCTCCGCTCCCCACCCCCCATCAAACCGCATTGACAGGAAGAACAGCCAAAAGCAATTACCAATCCTTCATCCCCCACACATCCCCCAAGCGCACCTGCAATATCCGGTGCCAACATGACACGCGAAGAACGTCAGCGAATTGTGGACACGTCGAACAGCAGTAGCAGCGGCGAGGATGAGGCGAAGCCAGTGGTGCGTAGGCGAAGCACCCGCGACACGGAGCTGGCACCGCCCAAGGACCCGGGCTGCTGTGATCCCTCCAGCACGCCGCACCGTTTTCTGGCCTTGGTTTTCATGTGCCTTCTGGGATTTGGTGAGTTGTGATGGCAATGGCATTGCATTTGGCATGCACAGCGCTAATTCAAAGTGCCTTTTAGGTTCCTACTTTTGCTACGACAACCCTGGGGCTCTGCAGGATGTTTTCCAAAAGGAACTGGACCTCAACTCCACCGAGTTCACGCTGATCTATTCAATCTACTCGTGGCCGAACATTGTGCTCTGCTTCGTGGGCGGCTTCCTGATCGATCGCGTCTTTGGCATACGCCTGGGTACCATCATCTATATGCTGATTGTGCTTGTTGGGCAGTTGATATTCGCCACTGGCGGTGTCCTGGGACACTTTTGGTTGATGATCGTTGGTCGCTTTGTGTTCGGCATCGGCGCAGAGTCGCTGGCTGTGGCCCAGAACAGCTACGCGGTGCTGTGGTTCAAGGGCAAAGAGCTGAATATGGTCTTTGGCCTGCAATTGTCAGTGGCACGCTTTGGCAGCACCGTCAACTTTTGGATAATGCAGCCGTTATATGGTTATGTGTCCAAATCCTACGCTGGCTACACTGGACTGGGTGTGGCGCTGTTTTTGGCCTCCTCAACCTGTGTGATGTCGCTGATTTGCACTTTGATTTTGGGTAGGTTTTGCTTTAAGCCAACTGTTGCATATCCTCTCTGATCTGTTCTCTCTCTCCATCTAGGCTGGATGGACAAGCGTGCCGAGCGCATTCTAAAACGCAACAACAACCCAGGCGGTGAGATTGCCAAGCTGAGCGACATAGTCACCTTCAAACTGGACTTCTGGATGGTATCCGTGGTCTGCGTCGCCTACTATGTCGCTATCTTTCCCTTTGTCGCCTTGGGACAAGCCTTCTTCGTGAACAACTTCCACATGACTCCCGCCGAGGCGAACACTGTCAACTCAATTGTCTACCTGATCTCGGCCATAGCCTCGCCATTGTTTGGTTTCATTATCGATAAGGTGGGGCGCAATTTGACTTGGGTATTCTGTGCCACCATCTCAACGTTTGTGGCTCATGCATTGCTGACATTTACCCACCTGGATCCGTATATTGGTATGAGCGTAATGGGGCTCTCCTACTCCATGCTGGCTGCTAGCCTGTGGCCACTGGTTTCGCTGATTATACCCGAATATCAGCTGGGTACGGCATATGGCTTGTAAGTGAAAGAATTAATTGATTTGTGGGCATTCTCTTTGACCTGTAATTATTTCCTTACAGCTGCCAATCGGTGCAGAATTTGGGCCTGGCTGTGGTGACCATTGTGGCCGGCATCATTGTGGATAGCAGCGGTGGCAGTCACTTCTGGCTGCAACTCTTCTTTATGCTGTTCCTGCTGAGTAAGGAAAAAACCTCTAGACAGTTTTGAATTCATTTAGAATCCATTTGCCATTTGTTAATTGCAGTTTCTCTTTTGGCAACTGTTGCGATCTGGGCGTACAATCGCAAGCATCAGGGCAATTTGAATATGTCACCGTCACAGCGGGCCACGTATCACACATCGATGTACGTGAATATTGAGTCGAGTTGAATGGTGTACTGAGCATGCCTATTGATTGATTGATTGATGTTGTGTATTGGTGTCTTTTGTCTATATATATGTATGTCCCATCAATCATTGACTAATTTGCCATTCTCTTTCTAAATGTATTTACTTTCGACTTACCATACCAAAAGCTCAATCCGACGCGCAACTGTGGATCGACGGCCTCTATTGGGCCATTAAATATGCATATAAACTAACTTACTATACTACAAATAACCCAATTGTGATGTTACCGCCATCTCTCTAATAGTACTTGACTTGTTATGCAAAACCTTGGAGCACATTCTGCTAACCGCACAATTTTCGTGGGATCTTGATCTTGTTCGTTATCGTATTCCGTTCCGTTAAACTTCCTAGCCAAATATTATACATATCAGTATTTGCAGAAATTATTGTTTTGTTTTATAATAAATTAATGTAAATGTACATTCACCGAACAAAAAATAAACCAAAGAAAATGCAGCAAAATAATTTAATGGGTAGAAATGTAAAAAAAATAAAATAAAATATAAACGTTACATTTTTGATCATTGATTTTATTTTCTTGAAGAATATGTTTTTGTATTTGTACAAAATAAATAAAATAAATTAACTAAAGCATAAAGCACAAATTCAAAATAATTTTGGCTTTTCTTTCTATCTTCTCTCTCTGAAGTTACAATAAACTCGAAAACTGCAATAAAATAAAAAATTAATGTTTCCAAAACAAATCTCCACGATAGACTAGAGAAAACGTTTATAAAAAAAATACAAATAATAATTAAACACATTGTACGTAGATGAATTAATACATTTTTTCTTTGTTGTTTTGAGAATTTTGGTTTAAGGATGGATGGAAACAAAGCCTTGAGGGGAGAGAAATGAGAATCAAAATTATATAAATTGTGTATGTTGTCATTCTCTATTGAGTTACTAAAAATGCATTCCATTCCCCATTTTATTTCGCTTCGAGACCCGTGCTCATACGTCTTCAGTTTAGCTGCTTTTTATGAATTAGTTGAATTATTATTGGGGGCATAAAACCTGCCCTCCCCCACGTCCGCATTGACTTTTCTTCGTTGGAACTTATCTAAGAGCTTCGTTGAAATTTTCTAGCTAAGTATGTTGAAAGTTTTGATTGCTTGTCGTTACTAGATTCTAAGGGTTAGTGGTTTTTTTTAGCATTCTTCGTCTAAGTTTGCTTCCTCATATTTTTTTGTTGGTTTTTTTGGTCGTTTTGTTTTGATTATTTTTGTTTGTTAGAGCCGCTAGAGCTAAAAGCATTGAAGGATATAGTCTAGCTTCGTCCCAGAGGACATTATCTATATATTGTCAGTTGGTTTGGGGCACCGCTCGGTACTGGGTGTCTATTCATCTAGATTCTCGGCATCGTCGGCTGCCGCTATCTCGCGTGTGGCGTCAGTCTTGATGCTAAGCAAATACTTGTCACCATCAAAGCGTTGACTCTCATCCTGTAGATCCTGTTTGCAAAACAACCAAAGAAAACGATTAGAAATTAAACAAGAAAGCGTTTCAGCTTAAGCTTACCTTGGACGGACATAGTTAATGAACATTTACATATGGAACAGATTAATGTCAGGTTTAAGAGCCATAACAAGCGGGGCAGGCGTGTTTTTAGAAGCAGTTTACAGTGTGTTGTCGCGTGTTTTGTGTTGTGATTTAAAACCCGAACCAAGCTTTACTTAAGACTTTGCAAGTCATTAATTTTATTTGAAATATATATATATATATGTAATTGTATGTGTATGTATGCTTTTTGGAGTATGCTGGGTGAAAAACGCTTAGACATAGTTTCCGCCGCGATCATTGCTTTGCTTGCTTGCGTTTATATTTAGTATTTTCGTTATAAGTCTTATTGAAAATTGTTAATTACAGTTTTGTTTTGTTATGTAAAAAATGCGCTTAAATGTGCGTTTGTGTTGGTTAATGTGTCTGAGTGTGTGTGTGTGGTAGTCTAAACTAAATCTGTTTCACAGCCAAAACACAGATTCTGCCTCCCTTAGTTACATTGTAAATTTAATTTGCATCACAATGTATGCATGTGTGTGTGTGTGTAAGTGTAATGTTTTTTATGTTAAGTGTTGATTACGTCTAAGACTAGCAAAAAGTTTCGCTTGCTTTGTTTTGGTTTCTAGTTTTTGGTTTCGTTTCGTCGTATCCTAATATTAATAATTAATAATAATTATGCAACTACGTGGCTTGAGATGCGTGAGTCTTTTTTAATGCCATTCTATTCGATTCGATAGAGATTCTATAAGTTGTTTGGTAACTCTCCCAAAATGACACATTTCGGGATCATCCAAATATTTAGATTGGAAAAACGAATACGTATTTATATTTTACGTATTGAAACGGACTGAACATCTAAGCAAAAGTACGATTATTATTGAGCTCTGGCTGCGTTTGTTCATCAAACCAGGCCATCAAGCACTCATCATCCTCGGTATAACGCTGAAAAACAGCTTTCAACTGTGACTGAGTATTATGTGAATGAGAATTGGGCTGGCGATACTTAGCTTGGGCACCCATTGTGCTGGTTATAATTTGCAATTGCCTATTATACAAGTTCCGATCGGACTCTGCCGATGGTTTTGGATTGCGACGTAACTCGCGTTCCTGTGGCATTACTCTAAATTGCTTGTTAGTTTCGGTTAAGGTGTTTGCATCACTAGCGTTTGCGATTGCGACCTGCGCATCGCCTTCGGGATTCATGGGATTTATGCTAGCCATTGTTAATGCATATGATTTGGGTGCATTGGTAATTGATTCAGGGCTCGGCACATGACGACCGTTGATGCATTTTAATTGCCCATCGATGCTCGAAATTACCTTGTTGCGCAGAATCGATGGCGTTGTCTCCAACATCTTTTGCCAATCATTGGGCAGTGCCCAGGCATGCGGACTTTGCGAGTAGTAGATCAAGTGTTCAATGTCGTAAGAGACGCGTGCTGCAAAGGGAAAACCATTAGCACTGCTTATGGGACTCCTAGTGGTGCGGAAACCTCTCCTCAACTCACATGCACTTGTCTTCATTGGACGCTCCTCTACGTCCAGCTTCTCGCGTGCTACCTTGTTCTCCGGCGTGGACTCCTTGCGCGAAAAGTGACTGCGACGTGAGCGAGCCAGTCCGTTCTGATTGGCAGCATTCGATGAAGCGCCGTTCGTTGTGTCGGCAAAGACCTCATCGTCTCCATCGCCATTGTTGTTGGCCGAAGAGGCGGCATAGTTCAGTCCAATGCCGCTATCGGCCAGAGGCAGCATAAACTGTGGCGGACCAGCGCCGGGCAGCGGTGTCGATGGAGTGGTTACGGGGCTCACCAGAGAGTTACCATCAAAAGCGGCGCCAGCCTCCATAGAAGCCAAGAACTCGGAGCTGCTGAAGTAATCATCCAGTACGAGCTTGGCCACCTGTATGAACAAAAATCAAAGGTTAGTTGCATGACCTCCAACTGGACTCCCCTCCCCGCTTTCACTCACGCGCACTAGCTCACAGCAGTCGCCGGTTATCTTGATCACACGCTGGCCCACGTTGACCGTGAACTTGTATTCACCTACGGAAGCATCGTTTGTGGAATATGAGTGCATTAGCAGCTGTTGGCTGGGTCGCAAAACTTTACCGGCAGCAGCTGTTGCCTGGGCCTGGGCCGCTGCTGCGGCGGCCACTTGTATGGCGGCAACCTGCTGCTGATGGTGATGATGCTGCTGCTGCTGCTGTTGCGCCTGTTGATGCTGTGTGATCTGAGAGATCTGCTGCGCTGCAGCCTGCTGGGCAGTCATAAAATTCTGCGCCGAATTGAAGCTCAAGCGATTCGCCAGGCTGCTGCCACCGGGCGTACGAGGCTGCACCACCACGGCGTCGTCAGAGTTTGAAGAGTTAAGGGACGAGCACGAGCCACCGGCCGCTGGTGCAGGCTCCAGGCGCACCGGCGAGGCGTTGCGACGAATTGTGTCCTCCATGAGTTGCTTGGCGTAGCTGTGCCAAAACGAAATTTGTTTATTTTTAATTATATGTGCGAACTAAAAGGGAAAATGGCTGCCAATTGCGTGGGAGATTTACAGTTAGAGGCAAAGCCGCACTGCCAACCTTAGAGAAAGAGTTGGCAGTGCGACATTGTGCAGTACTGTAACATTTGAAATTTAATTTAAATGAAACTTTAAGTTGAGTTCCCTTCATTGGCAGCTCCCTCGTGAAACTTACTTGATTTTTTCTTCCGCCGGTCCAGTGATTTGCACCAAACGTTCCTTGGCGCCCGGGTTGACTAAATAAGAGTTGATATTAATAATTTTGCATAAATAATATTTCGTGCGAACGAACAAAACGAAAAAATGGAAACAAAAAAGCCTTTATGGGGTCACCTTTTATGTACAAAAATGGGAATTAAAAGCGGAATTTATTTGAGAAAATTGTGTGGCAAGCGAGTTAGAAGCGTGTGAGGTGTGCAGATGCAAATGCAGGATGTCGTGTCATGTCCTTAAGGTTAAATCTGATCTGGATGTTACCTCTTTGAAACGAGATTATAGTTTCGCTTAGTTCCTCAATCATGTGCACGCGTCGCCCTTTGATGCCCATGACTAAGAGTGTGATGGGCACAGCGGCAGATGTTTGGAAAATACATTTTCAAGAATACAATTTGAGTAGATTTCGGGGGAAGAAAGAGATCAGGAGTGCAGGACAGCAAATGGGCGGCACACACTCACCTTTGCCTGAGTCAGCATTGCGGATGACAACCTCGTCCTTGCAGTAGGTTTTGCCCGGTATCTTGGTGGGTTTGGGGAACTTTCCCGAGTTGCGTATGACTTCACCGGGCGGCAGCAGCATGTGCTGCTGATTGGGTGAGCCGACGGCTGCTATGGCGGCCGCCTGGGCTGCGGCAGCTGCGGAGGCCGCATTAAAGACAGCGGCAGCAGCAGCGGTAGCTGCATTCATGCCGACATTCATGCCACCACCGCCGCCGCTGACGCCGAATGTGGGGGAGGTGCTGAGAAATCCGCCTTGCTGCACGCTGGCATCATGTTGATAAGGCTCCGGGGGTAGCTAAAAAACGAAACGAGGGAATAATAAAATAGTTTATCAAAGAGGAGCCTTGACAGAGACTCACCTCAACATTGGAGACTTGCTGTTTGGACTTGTAGTAGGCAATTGTGTCATTGTCCTCCCAGCTTTTGGCACGTAATTCAAT